GCAGACAACCCATGCTCCATCTGCCTGGGCGAGATCAATAATGCAGCACGCATTGATGGATGCTTCCACACCTTCTGCTTCGACTGCATCCAGCAGTGGGCTGCCACAAAAGCTGTGTGCCCGCTCTGCAGGCAGCCTTTTAACCACGTCCTGCACACGGTGAGGGCAGACGATGACAACCAGGAGCACGTGGTTGGTTTGTCTGCCCGCCAGCAGAGGACCACGGCCAGGGAGCGGGTGCGCAGCAGATCCCCGCAGCGGCGTTACCACCTGCGCCCAAGGCCCACCACTGACGAGCCTGCAGCTGGGAGAAGGGGGCCTGTGGGGAGGAACCGAGGGGCACGAGGTGGCACAGCTCCAGGGCGCTCTGATGCTGCTGCCCGGCAGGCTGCAGGGGAGAACCCGGCGGATAGACCCGTCCTCCGCTACGACCTGCCGGCACTGAGAGCACGGCTGATTAGTTTCATGGAACTTGAATAAAAATTAGGTTTATCTTTAGAAGCTTTTTGGGGTGTGTTTTTTTCAAAACCAAAGCACAAGGCATTGCAGGGAATGCTTTCCAGCCTCCCCACCTCCCCCTTCCAACCACAGGGGTAGAGCTGTCTAAGTCCCTTGAGCCCTGTCCCTGCTGGGTCCTCCTGCTGGTGCCTCCGCACCCAAACGGCCCTGTCATCCTCCAGTCACAGCCCTCTGAGCCTTTCTCTGACACTTCTCCTCAACAGCAGCCCAACTCCTCCAGCCCCAAACACTCTGGCTGTGGCTGGGAGGCAGGAAATGTCGGAAACACCCCTTACCTTGAGGGTGACAGAGAAATGGTACAGGTTGCTCAGAGAACTGGTGGAGTCTCCATCCTTGGAAATCCTTAAAAGCCACCTGGACATTGTCCTGGGCAATCAGCTGTAGGTGGCACTGCTTGACAAGGGGGTTGCACTAGATGACCTCCAGAGGTCCTTCTAACTTCAACTAATTTTTTAATTCTGTGATTCAGGTGATGGAGTTGTTAGATTGGTAGATCTTTGGGATTCAAGAGGAAATGGCATCGTTTTACAAAGTAGCATATATAATGAAAGATACAGACCCAACTCATTCGAGTTACTGAGTAAACCTGGAATTATGTGGCTCAGAAACATTACCCTGTCTTCTGCTGTTCTGCTTGGATGTTCCACACAGCCCATTTTTCCAAAAATGAAATACTCTTCCTGTCCCCTCAACCTGAGTTACAAGAACTGGTGTGTGGCATAAAACTGCCCAAATACTCATGAGGTGCACCAGGATCATTCCAGGAGTGAGATCAGAGAAAACAGTATTTTAAAAATTTTTCAGTCCTTCTTGTGAAGCCACACTTGCATGATGTACTCCCACACATGCATACTTTGTAGACTAAAGTAGGAGAAAGTGAGAGCGCTTCTCACACTGCTGCAGTCACTGAATTAGACACTTGCAAAAACAGAAATCAGTGCTGTCACTACAGGCTGCAGGAGAAATGAGACAGAAAATGTGATAGGTGCTATAGCTGCTAGTTTGCTTACTTGTAGATGTTACTGGTTGTAGATGTACAAGGACACTGCAAGCAGAGTATAAACATTTTAAAAGTGAAAAGCAATCATGTACTGGCTAACCCATGAAAGGCAGGTATGATTAAACAAGCTATTGGGTGACTGTTCGTATGCTTACCACACTCATGAGCCAATAAAACAGTCTTTGCTAGCCAAGCAGGCATCATTCAGGACGGATGGTATACCGTATACTCGGGTGCTGTACCAGAGCTGGCCTAGATTCATGGTACGAATTCTCTCCCACCTTGGAGAGAATGGGGAAGTTCATAGTAGGGATTACAGAGTGCTAGCTGCACACAGAAAGTCAAGAATTTCCTTATGAAGAAGTTTTTCATTTTAAAAAAATGCCTATTTGGCAAAGCTGGACTGTGCAAATTTCAGTGAGACTTGCATAACAGAATTGCACTTTTCCAGAATTACAGCAAGAGACATGTAGCTGTGAAATTACTGTAAGTCAAGCGCACATCACCCTTAGCTACCACTTTCAGCTGCAGTTAGGAGTTGTTGCTTTGTGGAGACCAGCTGTTTCATGTGCCAGCACATCCTGTACTCTTTCTGCCACCTGATTTGAAACTTGCCATTCTGTCATTCCTGGTTTTTTGTTCCCCTCAGGGTTGAAGCTAGGGGCTGAGAGGGGTGATTTAGCAGTTTACTCTGCTGCACCTCTGCAGGGCTAAGAAAGTGCAACTGCACTCCAGCATCACAGTCCTTTTGGGTGGCTCCCTTGGTGACAGTCCTGAGGAAGCTGGCCCTGTCAGCAGCATCTGTCTTCTCGCCATTAGCCTCATTGCTGCAGTTTCATTCTCCTTTGTCTACAAACCAGACTGGAAACCTCAGCCGAAGAAGGTGATGAATCAAGGACAGCAGTTCCACAGCTCTCAGCTGGGCAGGGGAGGTATCCAAGGAACCGGACAACATCAAGCCATAGTCTGGGAACTGTCGCTCTGGATTCATTTCAGTGCCACAAGTCCAACATAACATTTGCTTTTCCAGTGTGTACCTATGTGATCACTGGATTCATATACAGTCTAATTAACTGTACATTAAAAAGAGGAGTTAGACACACTGTTAAATGTCTGTTACAGATTGACAAAAATAAGCCTCTGGTCCTAACATCCATTTCTCTCTTGCCTATTCACTCCTTTCTTTGTGCAGAAAAAGACAGCATTCACATCTTCCTCAGGCTGTGACTCTGTAACATGTCCAAGCTTTTGCTTCCCTGTGCTAACATCCTGCTGTCTACACGTTGGTGGGGTCAGTCATGGATTTACTGTTTTGTTGGCATCCTCTTAAGGGTTACAGACACGTTACCTTTTCCTTTAACCCATTGCTTCATCGTCTTTAATGTCCTCTATAACCACTGCACTGCAGGTAATAGAACTGCCTTGCAGCTTCAAGACAGTGTATGAGCAGAGCATGTGTACCACCTCAAAACACAGATACTTAACTATAAAAGGCAGATAACTATTTTAAGCTTGGAAAGTTGCATCCAACCTGTTTAATTCAAGATCAAAACTGTATCAACTAAGGGAAGAGTTTCACTAATGTGAAGATCTTAAATTATTTCTAGTCTTGTTTGAAAAACAGCAGTGTAAAACCAGTAACGACAAAGACAGAGCTCTGTATAAGTGCTTGGGATTTCTTGTCACTCATTTTGCTGTTAGCAGAGATCTTGCTTTTTTTAAAGATGAGGAATATACTACAAAGCAGCCAGAAAGCAATCTTTTGGTAGCAGAACAAAAAATGCTTCCTTGCATTGGGCTGGGAAAGAGGCCTTTTTTTTTTTCCTGCTAAATCAAATGTGACCTACCTACCTTTATCTGTTAACTCAAGAAGAAGATGTACCTCAGGCACAATTAAGACCCAAAGTAAGCCCACGAACATTTCTTGCCGCAGAAGTACTGTTCAGATACACTCTAACTGCTGCTCTCCTTCCGTGGGGACTCCCAGGATCCAGCAGCCACGGAAGAATAACTGGAAGAAAAGCTGATGGCATTTTTCCACCATGGATATGCAGGTGTCCTGGGAATCCCACACTTCAAGGGTTGTCTGATTCATTGCTCTTTAATTGCCAAAACAAGTCACATGTGATCAGCAAGCCAAAACTATTCAGGCTCCACTGAACTTAAACATGTGCAACAATAACTGCATTGCTGTGCAGCAAAGCTGAGTCTCACTGCATTGCAATCACAGAATGTAGCATGAATTTCTGCTGGAGAAGCATATAATATATATGGGCCTGAGCAAAAAAAATGCAATTTTTAACTTGGACTCAGTGACACAATAGGCTTTTTTTTTTTTTCAAAACCACTAAGAAATGCCACAGTTTAACTTCCAAAATCTGGTTTTATACTTTAGAGAATAATGCCCTTTCTGCACCTGGGCAGGCTATTATTATGTATTCCTGTGTAATTCTGCTGTGACTAAACCACAGAAAACCTTTTACCTATTTCAGTACACATTCTTTGAAAGGAAAGCCCTCACTTGGTACATTAAATACCAATACAGATTACTCCCTAAGCTCTAGCAGTCATTTAATAGTTATTTACACTGATAGTTGCATATCTAGCACATAATATTTTTATTACTATGTGTTTCAGACAAAAAGCCCTTCATGGATAAAGAGAATGATACTGCTAGCCAGCGTGGGACACCAAGGCTGTGCTGGAGTAGCATGCAAAGCTACCTCCCTTGGGACAAAGTATGCAGGGTTTAATTAGTATATGTTGGGGGTTTTTTTCTGAGGGCTGTGCTTCATTCTACAAGTATCATTTGTCAGTAATTTATTTTTTTTTAAAGATAGCAGGAAGCGGACAGACACATACTTAAAACACAATTATAGCTTTAGGCTAAATAATCTCTGTTAATTTTATTTCAAAATGTAGTTTGCGTTGTGATGAATATGAAAATAAGAGTTGTGGGACTACATATGCCCTGTGCCTTCTGAGCCGGGCTCATGAAGTGATGTGAGATAGACTTTTACAACCTCAGAAGACTGGGCTATATAAAGGGATGCTCAGATAAAGGGTCTCCCTTTGCCAGCCCCAGGATTAAAAGCCAGACTGGCTTCTTGCCTGCTCAGCAGAAGCCAGTTCTCTCCTGTACCTGTTGTGGCTGGGGTCCAGCTCTCCATTCCTCACTACTCAGTAGTGTGGTAACAGTCTGGCAGGTTGACATTCAGCTGACCGCTGCATTAATGGTTTATGACAAGCTATGGGTGACTTTCATCTCTGTTTGCAGCACTGTTTGTTCAGGGTTGAGAACAGTATGATTCAGAAGTACAGCATCTCTGTAATACAAGTCCTGAATAGGAAGGTGTCATTTCTGCACAGGTATTTTCCAGAGTGAAACTGCACTTGAAATGGTGCATTTTCCAATTGTTGACAAAATCATTGCGGGTCTGGGGTAGACATCTGCTCCATTTCCTTCCAGCTTTGTTCCTGTAGGAAGTGCACTGCAGGGTGGTCTCTGGTCAGCAAATGCTACTTTCCATTATCACAGAAAATTTGACAAACTCAACATGAAAAATGAAAGTACTTTTCTAGTTCAATCTCCCTTCCACAGCACGTGGCTGGAAGAGATGATCTCCCTTACTGGTTGTGTGACTATCTGAGCATACTGAGCTTCTTGATAGCTGGTAAATCCATCAGCAAAATGACAGTAATATAATCATGATTCCACCACAGACTGTGATTTTTCAAATCCATTTTAAACCTCACCATGGCAGAGGTCCTATTTATTATTCTGAAATGAGGATGAATCAAAAAGATCATATTTTCATATAATTCTTAAATCCGTCTTTACATACCTATTAAAAACTCTGCAGTGCTAATAGAAATCAGATTTCACATGTGTATCACAGACAGTATCACAGTACTGTGCATTTAGCAACAGTTTATTGGTACTGTGCCCTGGTGGGTCTATATCTTAAAACAGGCTTAGTGATAACACGTAATTAAGTTCCACAACAGTAGTGGTGAGGGGGAGATTTTTAATATACCTATGTATGAAATAAGGTGGCACTAGACCATTTTCAGTACAAACAGTTAAATTTCAGTGACATTTCCCTTTTTAAAAAGAGCTAGGGCAAGGGCAAAGTTGTGCCTGCATGCATGCCCTGCGTTTTGCAGACACATTGCCAAGTTCCTCCACCTGACGTCGCGTGGAAGCATTAAACTCTCTCTCTGCAGCAGAAAGACCTAAGCGAGGTTTGTGGATCAATACTAGTGATAATAGCAATATTTCAGTTCAGCACTATTTTGACAGTAGAATTAATGTTTCTCTTCTTACAGTCAGGCCTGTATTCTTATCTCAGTGCACAAGGGTTTATGAGCCTAATCTAAAATCTGCTGAAGTGAAAAGAAATTGTTCCTTTTAATGCAATCTGTTTCAGATCAGTCCAAATATTTATTAACAATATTTACAGTGCTAGGCATCAGCTTTTGTACTTTCAGAATGAAAATAACCCCTAAAATTATTGGTGAACTCTTTTACAGTTCTTTGTGTAACTCGTAAAATGTACTTCTATGTAATTCTAAGCATGGAATGATGATTGGACTGTGTACACAAACCACACAGCCCTGTCAGCATTTGCACAAACTCTTAGTTATTATCAGCCATGCTAACTAACATCCCCTGCTGAAAAATAAGTCACGCTGTTTTTAGGTTATTTCTAAATGCTAAACACATCAAGCACAAGAAAAATACAGTGACTGGGAGTTTTTTATCCTCTAGGATAATGTTACAAACTACTACAGCCAGAAAAAAATAGATGAAACAAGCCTCAAAATGTCAATTAATCTGAATGCAAAGTTGTACAGACTGCACTGTACATTCAAGCGTCTGGGGAGAGTTATCTTCTGGAAAGTGAATTCCTGAACTTTGTACCACTTTGTGCCCATCAGGCAAGTAAAAGATCACAGCAGACGTATCTCTAGGCTTTCCAAGGGCAGGAGAGTTTGCACCATGTATTGTAAGTCCTAGCAGCTGAATTGTGGCTTTCAGGATTTGCTTTCCTCACTAATAGGAATTTTTTCCCTATGCTGAATCTTAATTCTTGTAAATTGTTTTTGTTTAGTGTGCACTTTGTTCTGTCTCTCTGGACAAGATACTCTCTCTAGGCATTTCTTTGTCTGACATAGCTGAATGCAGACCAGATTTAGACATTCAAATCAGTACTGTTTAGGCTCTTTGAGTGACAGTTTCGATTTAAAATAATTTATCCAGCTTTCACATAAACAGTAAACACACTTTTTGATACTGCCTAATCTAAAAGCTGAACCTTATACAAAAATTAGCAAGAAAACAGTCAGGTCGGTTTTTTTAAAATTGAACCAAATATTTCTAAGAATGAGGTGCCTCCAATAAAAACATTTTGCCAAGCTCAAATGTTGCAATAGTACCTGAGTAATAATGCATTGCATTAGATGAGGCCTTCGCTTTTCATGTTAAAACCGCTATTTACTAATAAGCAGTTACCTTTGACAAGGCAATTGCTTCTTACCTTCATTGAAAAAGCAACCCAAATAATTTCATGTCATTTTGCAATCCTTCTCACTGGCTGCCCTCTTGGCAATACACCACATTGGTGTCCTTGAACAATTCCACACTTGGGACAGCAGTGATCAGGGTGAGAATGCAGGTAAAATTGCCCCAAAGCTGGGATTTTTCAGATTTAGCTCAAACCACCACATTAACCTCTCGAGACAGCCAAACCTCTGGCGAGCTGTATGGCTACTGGAGCCTGAGGAATGCACCCTGCCAACACCACTGACCTGCCTCTTAGTTTATCACCATCTGCTCTGTGATGCAGCCTGCCTTCTGCCTCCTTTTCCTCCTCAGCCTTCGTGATAACACTACCCTCAATAGCCTTTCTGTCTTTCTTTCCAATTAATTCTGGACCTTTTTCTCACCATCCTGCACACCTCTACAAAACACTCGCTTGAGTCAGCAGGTGACCACTTTGCTTTTTCATTCCCCTCTCTCCCTAGCAAAGACTCAGAACTGGCACTCTTTAATTGAAATGCCAAGGAGAGCTGTGGCTTAAAATAAATGGTCACAGGATCTTGTTTATCTTGCCTCAACCATCCCGTCCGAGCCTGCTATGACAGCGTGGAGTGTGGCTCCTCTGGGACATCAAGCATACAGCAGGCTAAAGCAGCAAGTACATGCCTTGATGGTGTTAAATCATAAATAAAATAGCAGCAGCAGGCACCTCCTCTGAGCATAAAAAAGCAGAAGCCTCCCTGTAACTCATTTAAGTCCTCTCTTCAGAAGCAAACCCTCTCCATTAGACTCCTGAAATCTGCTTTACTTCAGGGAGTACAGCTCTTCAACCAAGCTCAGAAATTAGTCTGGCAGTGTAGTCCCCTGCGGCAGAAATCTCCAGAGCAGGCACAGCATGAAAAGCATTGTTTGCCTGCCTTAATTTCCCCCCCTCAGCATTCAATGCAGTTCGGTACCACTGGCACTTGTGCGTTCAGCCCTTGGGGTAGGCGAGAAGACAGCCATACCACCAATGTGTGAAGTGCTTGGGAAAATGGTTTGAAAAAGACAAGGGGGAAAATCAGCATCCCACTTCTCTGCTGGCACCAGCCACTTTTAGCCTGCTTGTGTTGATGGCCCTGAAACGCTGTGCCTTGCTGGTTCTAGTGTAGATAACAGGCATGAGCAAGGCAGATGCAGGGAAATATCCACAAGCACGAAATTAGGAGCATCAAGTCGGTAAGTGTGAAGGTAAAAAGCAGTGATGGAAAAGGGGTGATCCACAATAAGGTTGCTGGCAATCTGACTCTTCTCTAAGGTGCCAGGTGGCAACCTTCCCTTCACCATCAAAACAACCTAGCCAACAAATTTGAGGATGAAAGATATAGGGAAGACTTTTACCACTACTCTCAAGTTCCTCATACATGTATTTCATGAGCACCTGTTTCCAGGTAAGATATTTACTGACACAGTTAAGTAGCTGTCTGTTAGTCTGCTGTGAACAGGGTAGGTATATGTTGCATACTTAAACTTTACAGGACTGATATGAAGACTAGTCTGGGACTCACGCATTTTGGAAACATGCAGACTTCTAAGTTCTCAAGTTTTCTTAATTAGTGCATTTAAAGAAAAGAGTTGGCAAACAATAACACAAGATATATTAAACTGCAGAATGGTTCAGTTGTTGAGATTTTTGCAGTTTTTCAAACATGTCATCTTAGATTCAGGTTCTGATTGTCCTGGCAAATGATGAAATGATGGCTCTCGTATATTGCAGTGAGAGATGCATTTATTTTATACACAGGCTCATCATCAACTTTAAAAAGGACAGCTAGCACTGTCATTATTTTCACAGGGAAAGTACATTTCCCCCCCTCTTAATGTTAATTTCTAACAAAACCTTTTTTCCCTTCAAAAGTACGGCTGTGTATATCACTAGGTGCACGCTCTATCTGAAGGAGTTGATTTTCTCTCCTCACTCAGGTTGATTACGTGTCTGAGCACTAACTACCATTGCTGATGATGTGCGGGAGAGCTGCGTGCGTGGCATTCATTGGTGAAGACTAGACATCCCTCCCTCACACCCCCTTCCTCTCCCTGTCCACTGACACTGTAATTGTCAGTTTTCCTGAGAGTGTGAGGCAGGGGATTAGCTGTGCTTCACAAACTCCGGCAGCTCCATGCCCGTGTGCAGGGTAAGCGCTCCAGCCTTCTCCAGGGCGAAGGCTGGGTGAGCAGCATCAGTGAATTTGTGCCTGATGGTGAACAGCACCAGTCCTCTCTCTGCATTGAAGAACAACAGTCTCCCACCACTGTAATCCAACAGGATGCCGATCCTGGTTGGGTGTTCTGTCACACGAACATCGCTCATCACACCAGTGTGAAGAAATCTGTACAGAAAGCTACAGAAAAATGGAAAGCAGAGTACAGTGAGCCTCCTCATGGTGATTTACCAGAAAAAACCTGCCACTTTATTCCCACCTATTAACAGGTGGCCGCATACAGCAGCGTATCATGTGGCAAAAGCATTTTGCTCAGTACATAAGCAAAGTGAATGTGGCATTGCTTCAAAGCCTTGCCTGGCATGCTGATGAGTCCTTTCACTTGGCATCTTTGGACTCTCAGGATAAAAGCAGACTTGCTGTAATCATATTCATCTATATCTTTCTTATTACATGTCTTTGTGGGGATTTAAGCATGAGCTCTGCTTTGGCACAACCCTTTGCATCTCAGATGTTTCATTTAGGCAGTTATGTTCATGTATCTATATGACGTCACACTGAAAAAGCACACTTGTTTAGATCAAGAGCACCTTTATGCCATTAACAGGGTTATGCCTTACAAACCTCCAAGCAGCCTTACACTGGCCTGCTGAAGACTACTCCAGTGCCCAGCAGTCCTGCCACTGTGGCAGGGGGGGGGCCGGTGGCGTGGAGGACAAAG